AAGAGTCCACCTACAGATCCAGAAATTCCCATTAAAGGATGCGCTTCGTTTTCTCATAAAACCATCAGATTTTTAAATAGTCGAGTATTTCACAAGATGTGACAAATAGCTTGTTCTTGTCTGTCCTTTGACGTCTTCCCAGTTGACGGTTGAATTGCCCCCTTATTATTTTCCAATAGAGAAATATTATCATTGCGATCGATCATCCTGATGCTTAAAAGGCTAATGCAAATCACCGATGCGTCTATAGATTGAAGATCTCGTCGATCCACATCAATATGCTCCATAAAGTTACTTTCACAACAGCTCTCGAGGCCTGAAATATGACTTATTTTTCACTTTATAAATCAATCCTAATCAAGAGAGAAAACTGGGATTCCTCCTGGGTGATTTGTCGTATTTTATAAATTTATGCCCTGAGTAAAGTCTCTAATTAGCTCTACCTTTTGCCATCAATTAAAATTCAATTTACTATAAAATTAAGAAATTTCCGATATCACAAAATGGCTTTTAATTCATCACTTGGAAGTGCTGTATTAAACATTATTTTTTATAAATTACTGGAATTATATTAATAGCTTTTTGAATCTATAAAAATATGATGGGAATCGTGCAATTCACCGGCGAGTTATGGCATATCGTTAATTCGATTTTGTTTCAGAAATTGTTTTTCACTGGTTATTGGAAAAATCCCCAATCTCCTTAAAGTGTTCTTTTTTCAATTACGATAGGAAATGGTGATAATAGCATGATGTCTCATTGAATTACACAGTAGCCTCATCAGCTGTGTCTGCGAGAACATTGCAAAATTTCCTCAGCCAGTATTACATTAGATACTTATACATATGTATATACATTTATTATAATAAGAAAGGTAATTTACAATGTTTCTAATAAAATAAATCCTGCAATTACAACTGTAATTTACAACCGTAATTTATGATCTCCGAATTTCAAAATTTATGTTGGATTCCTTTTTGTATGTTTTTTTGATCCGTGTAACACCTTGATTAAATTCAGATCAAACACCGATTAAGCTCTGACCCATTTATAATCAAGAATCATATATCATATATTGAATCACCAGTCACTCTTGAATAAATCTCAAGCGAAATAGAAAAGTTGAGAATACTGGAAAAACGCCACAGTAGTTAAAAATCTTTATGCCATTACAATTAATAATAATAAATTAATAATCACATGATAATGCAAAAGCAAAGATAAAAAATAGTGAAATGAAAACAGTAAAAATGCAGAATTCATTCAGAAGCAATTTGCTAGCAAGTGCTTTAATTGTTTTGAGAATAATTATTGAATTAGGGAAAATGATATATTTTTAAGTAATATATCTTTCATTAATTGTTGGTATGATGCACTCCTTAGAGAATTCACTGTGACTGTCACACCGATAAATTGGATCAAGCGTCTCAGATCACGTACACGTACGCTAAATGCTCTCTATATTTGCCCCGCACCTCAGGTATTACCTGCAAAAGGTCAACGAAACAGGACGATCTCCTTCCAAGTATTCTTATGCAACTACCTGCCTTCCTCTTTAATTTTTTTCTTTAATCTACGACACATGCTCATTTCGTAGGGCTTCATATCGGCGGTCACGTTCTCCTCATGGAATTCAGATTGAAACACTCAGGCTGCATGTCATTTTTTGAGAACTCATGCTAATGCCGAGCATGTACATTCTCATTGAATTACTTGGAGCACATCTCATTTTATTTTCAAAGACACTAGGGCACTGGATTGTAATTAGATTTTTTAATTAAGTTACAAATTAGTTGGAGTTGTTACATCAATAAAATGACTGAAGGAAATGATGGTGGAAGTACATCTTAAAAATACTTATTTACAAAATTTTATTATTTTATTTTATTATTTTTGCATTTTAATAGACAGTTAGAATTAATGATTTATTATTATTAATATTATAGGGCATATTAAAAACATAATTCCCCTCTAATTCGGATGATTCTTTTTCAAAAGGAATTATCGAATTCTCTTTTAAAGTTATTGCCGATATCTTCTCATTTTTTGTTTTTTTTTGGTAAAGTTGACAATTTTTCGAGAAAAATTCTTCCACGGCGATAAAACTTCGTGAGCCATTACAATAAATAATAATTGAATAGTGAATAATAATGCAACTCAAAACCGGTAGACTTTTTCACGTAAACTTGAGAGACGAGAAGCTATCGCCAATAATTATCACGAGAAAATCTACCGTTCTCACATTTTATAATGATTTAATAATGATTTTAATATCGAAATGCCACGATCGTGTAAAAATTATCCCGCATTTTTATAGACTTTTCAAAAATTCATAAAAGTCTTTTAAAAAAACACAGGAGAATTATTGTACAACAATTAAATTTTTGGAGTCATTATAAATTAATGAATGAATGTTTGTTTATTTCCCAATTTCCACTGCATGGCTTTACGCCTTTTAATCATTATAAATAATGATAAAATGCAAAGACGGTGTGTTTTCTTTGGTCAATTCCATCAAGAATTAATCAGAAAAAGCTTGTTTTGTCTCATTGCAGAAAAGAATGAGTTTACTTGATGATTATGACTAAATGAATGACTGTATCACTGGTTCGTCCTCATTCCCAATATTTACTGCCCTTCACATAGTTTGAATTAGTTTTGTTGGATCATGTTTTACAATACTGTAACATGATCAATAAATTCTTAACATGAGTTACAAAATCCAGTTACTCATCAGTTTATCGAAGCAAATACCTTCTTTTTCATTAGAACCACTCGCATTTCGAAATGGACTGGAGACATCCGAGGTCAGAGATGCGT